GCAGACGAGCTTGTCTATAAAGATTCAAAATGAGGAGGCGCAACTAATTTCTTTTCAACGTCAAATTCAAATGCATCATAAAACAAATGCGCCTTGACGTTTCAAATTCCATCAAATCCCCCTTGAGCTTAATTTTAACATAAAGGAGATACATGATCAGGAGAAATCTTCTACTTCAAATCAGCATATATATATATATACCTACCATAAAAACAAACTTACTACAGGAGCTTCTCTTTTCTTTGAGGGACATCGAAATAAAAGACTAATATCTCACTCCTAGTTAGCATAATTAATACTGCAGAAAGCAGAAGTACACAGCCCTTAAACTTCAATAATAGCTTGGTTTGCTATCATGGCAAGCAATTTCCTCTCTTTGATAGCAGGGTCCTCTAATAGTACCACTTTGTCTCCCTCTCTCACTCCTACCATGTGAAGGTGATCACCATCTTCTCTCTCCTTCCCTTTGAACAGAAGCCTCTGCTCTCTTGGCTCAAGCCCTGTGGCCATGGACACTACAATCTTCAGATCCCCTGTGAGATCACAAAATAAATAAATAAATATGAAAACAAAATAAATAATAAGTTTCAATTTTGGACTTGATTTCAGTGCAATATCCTTTTTATATTTATTTATTTTTGTTTTGCATCTCTTATATGATATGTGTTAAAATTAAATGTGCAGGTCGAGCTTGTTTTCCTACATTTCTACTATAGAAATAAAGAAAATCTTACCTTTCAAGCTAGGGGGAAAAAATGATATGTCAATTCTACAAAATGGATTCTTGTGAGCAAAATGGATTCTACAAAAATGATAAGTTTCAATCTTTCTTCTCTTTTTTTTTTTACTTTTTCTAGGAGTGGACCAATATATATGATCGTTAAAGTGACATCTCAAAATCTCCTATAACTCTAGAGAAAGTATCAAATGGTCCAGAAGTCCATTGCATTAATGTGTACAAAATAGATGTCAACTATTAGATCATTTGACTTCAAGATTCGTGCACGGATCCAATGGTTGACATACATTTGGTGCACATTAAATGCCATGGATCATCCTCACTAGATTCTTTCTCATAACTCTTAATTAAGTCCTCAAACAAGGTCCCAAAAATCAAACTCTATTCTCTAACTTACCAAAGGTTGAAGTGGGTGCAATGGAGATATCATGCCAACATGAGCCAGTTGAAACCCTAACTATGATCAACCCTTTACTCTCACCTCTCCCACCCTCTCTCTTCTGAACTAGCATCCCTCCGGGCCTCATCTCCCATTCAATGTCACCATTAGCCCCTTCCTCGCTATGGGCCGCATTGACTTTCCCTCCATTGCGCTTAGAGCTACTCTTGAAGAGCCTCTTTGATCTCAACTTCAACATCTTCCTTCTCAAATGTGAGAGAGTGCTTTAAATTTTGAGAGTACTAATATAGAGAGAGAGAGAGGTTGTAATAGTGAAAAAAAAAAACAACTAGACAAGTCCCTTTCCTAAAGGCCCTTTAACAAAGAGCATTGGCCTTTGATAGCCTTGTTTACTTGCATGCTTGAAAAGAAAGCAGTTTTCATAGAAAAATGTGAAAAAGAAAGTTTCCTGTGGGCTTTATAGCTAGCACATGGAGGTGGCAACAAGCTAACAAATGATTGTATTGGTTGGCTGTGGTTCATTTGGTAGGGTTAAGTGATTATTCCCTTTGAGTAGGTGTTTGGGCCTTCATCATGCAATCTTTAGGGTTTGGTGCATGAAGGTACGTTTCGGTTATATCATGCAATGTTAGGTTGGGAGCATGAAAGGAGACTTCCATGTGAAGGGAGGGGGATAAGATGTATTTATCAATTATCATTAACTTTTTTGGTGGTTAAAGTTTCACATTCTTAGAGATTGCACGGGCAAGGGAGATCAACATATATAACCCTACTAAGATTTGAAGTTATAGATATGGATCCATGTTATTGTGGGAAGTTAAACTAATAATGGTGTTTAGTGCTTTTGTAGTACTAGTTGCAACGAGTATCGGACCAACAGTGACCAATTGTTTTGAAATTGCAAAATAGACAATAGCTCTTTATGTTCATGGCGTTCTCCTCATTTCCCTACACTGCATATTCACTTGTGTGTGAATCGTTTTGTTTGGTACGAAGAAAATTTACATCTATAACTGCATACAAATTTATAAAAAAGTAGTCGTATTTATAATGCAAATGTCTGTTTTCCTTGGAAAAATGACAATGGATTTGATGGGTCATCTTCTCAGTTTAGAACATTTGAATTTTCATAAAGTTCTAGGAACACGTGGTGATGGATGTTGTGGGTCTAGCTCAAGATAAGGCCCACATCACAAGTAAAAAAATGAGGCATTCTAGACGGAAAATTCCATCTAGGATAGTTGGAATTCCGTCTAGGATGAGTATTCTAGACGGAATTCCATCTAGGATACGCGTCTAGGATGTTTCCGTCTAGAATACATCCTAGACGGATTATTCTAGACGGAATTCAAAAACGTCTAGGATAATCCTAGACGGAACATCCTAGATGGAATTTTCGTCTAGGATAAACATCCTAGACGGAATTTTATTCCGTCTAGGATATGTATCGTAGACGGAAAATTCCGTCTAGGATATCCAAAACATTCTAGACGGAATTTCTGTCTATGATGGGTATCCTAGACGGATTCCGTCTGGGATGTTTTTTTATTTTTATTTTTAAATTTACATCCTAGACGGAATTTCCGTCTAGGATGTTATGCTATAGTTTTTTTTTTTTATAAAACTCCCTTCGCATGGCATATAATATCACATGCACACACTATAGCACAACATCAAATCATATTCATATCCAATTATAAACGGCATATAACATCACATGCACAAATAATTAAGAAGAATTTGAATATAAACGGAAATTGAATGATAAATTAGCAAATATTAATATTCAAATGAAAAATGCGACTTTTACAAACATGTTACAGATAAGTTATGTGGATCGACCAGCATATGGATCTGAGCCATGGTTCCACATGTCAAATGAAAAATGCGACTTTTACAAACATGTTACTCATTCACACCAGTTTTCTTGGATTATATGTCCATCTGAGACCAATCAAAACTTTGTTGTGAGATTTTCTATTTCTCCCAAATTTCAACACTCCTAACTGATGCTTGATTTGTTGCACGATTGCTTCCAAAAGTCTTTCGGTTCGATTCTCTAGCAATTCTTGAACTGAACTGTATGTCAGAAATATCAAGTTAGTTAAATCTTCACAAAATTAGGGATTAATTTTGAAATATGAAAATTTACAATAAATGCAATGTGTATTCTTTGATATACGGTGAGAGTAAACTTCGCACCTGAATGGCTCTTCTGGGTAGAAGAGATGCTCCTTCAACGCCAAGCAATCTTGCAACATGTCACACGATATATAGAAATTTAACCAAATATCCAAAAGATTTTGTTTGAAATGTAAGATAGGTCATATTTTGGTACACTTTACTCCCTCAATTTTTTTATCACCTCTTCCTGCAGGTTTGTCGAGTTCAGCAATCTCCCACAAGGGAAGTTCCAGCAGAGATTTAATTACATCCTCATCCAGAAATGGAAATCTGGCCTACAATAGATAAAAATAGGAAAGGAAACATATAATCACTAAAACTTTTGAAAAGAAATTTGTGAAAAAGAAAACAAAAGCATAAAAACGGTTTACGAGGTCTATACCTCCTTTCCATGGTCAGAGATGCACCTGTCATCTCTGCCCAAATTCCTTTTCCAAATTCTTTGTATATCCAATGGAATATGGATATCAAATATCCATATCTATTCTACTGGAGACGAATGCCAGCATACCTACGAATGTTTACATCAATTTTCTCCATTCCACATGATTATCAATGTAGTGCAGCCACCTATAAAACCAAACACTAACTTGAGGTACATTGCAAGTTTCGACTAAGTTTGGTAAGGATGCTAAGTGCAAGGAGAGTGTCATACTACCCTCAATTGAAATAAGCATATCGCGAGAAAGAGCAATGGTAGAAATAAGCAAGCTCAAGTGAAAGCAGGATCAGAAAGAGCAAACCACTTGAAAGACCTTGTCCTTAGCATTACAGCATTAACAACTACAAGTCCTTATTTAATCACCTCAATCCAAGTTCATTTAGGCTTATGCCCAGACTTCATTGATCGTTCTATATAGCAATTGCTGGTCTTTATTACACATGCCAATGAGTTCTTGTCATTTCAACCTTAATCAGCTCCAACCTCCATGCATAAACATTGGTATTTTATCCCATCTTTAGCATTATCATATCTTCTATGTTACCCTTTAAAATATTGTTTAAGTTGTCCGACATTCTTAAGCATGATTAGTTGTTCTTAAAAAAAATTCTTAAGCATGAATAGTCAACATTCTTCACACATAAGTGCTAATACTCTCTCATCTTTAGCATTCTCATTTCATCTATACTACACTTTCAAATATGTATTCTTTTCCCCCTTCTAGATTCAAGAAATGATGATAACGATACCAAGACGTCATCGACAAACAACTGGCAATAAATTCCCCTAAACTAGGGTTCAGATTCATCGCTATGGACACAATTATCAATAAAAAATTAAATCAAGGAACCAAAAGAATAAATTTGACGAATACCGATGGCGAGAAACGTCGGTTTCTTAAGAGACCGGACCTCAGGAATCGGCTTCTTCGTCTGCTGAATGTGAAGATACACAGGATCGCCAGCCTTCTCGTAATTCGAAGTGACGTAATCCTTGCCAAAAGCGAGGAAGGAGCTCATATCGACAAACAGACCCCCTTCCGATCTCTGCAAACAAATGTAAACAAGGGTTAGGGTTAGGGTTTCGACTTGAAAATCGAGGACGAGATGGAAAGGTACTGGGGTGTCAAAGGAGATGCGGCACTCATGCTTGTAGATTCGGTTCGTGGGTTCGGGGATTCAAACCCTAGAGAGATGAGACCGAAGGAGCTCCATTTATGAGAGAGAGAGAGAGAGATCGAACGGAGGAGTTAGAAAAAGAATTACGGGGGGAGGGTTTCTTATTTCGATTTTGGGCGGAAATTTTTTTTTTTGGGGGGGGGGGATTTTGATTTTGGGGGGAAATTTTGATGTTTCTATTTTTTTTATATGGGCCATAGTACGAAAATTTCCATCTAGGATATATTCTAGACGGAAATTTCCATCTAGGATACCTGGTCATCTAAAAAAATTAAAAAAAATTAAACCGTCTAGAATACTATCCTAGACGGATATTTTTATCTAGAATATTTTATCCTAGACAGAATATTCTAGACGGAAAATTTTCCGTCTAGTTTGAACTAGACGGAAAATTTCAGTCTAGAATATTCCGTCTAGGATACATGATTTTCTACTAGTGATATGAGGTTCACATGAATTAAAATTCTATGTAGAAGAGGATTTAGATGATCTATTTATAATAGGAATAAGTTTGGAGAATTCTATTTTACGTAGAACTTAAATCTATTTTTGGTGCTATAGTAACCATGATTAGTAACTCGAAAAAAGAAAAGAGGGGAGAGAGAGAGGGATTTTGGGCGGGGACCGAGTTGGGGGGCTGGGGTGTTTGGGAGTGAGAGATGTATAGAAGTAAGATTCTGAATAGCTCGGTTGTCCGATTGCAGTAATTCAAAAATCGTTGTCTTCAGAACGACAACGCCGTTGAGGGTACAGTGCTAGTTTCTTCGTGGGTATAGTGAAATATTTTTCTCTAGATTGCCCCGTGGATGTAGGCACAATTTGATGAACTACGTTAAATCTTGGTGTTTGCTTGCTTGTTGTATTTTTCATTGGTGTCGTTATTCGTTTAGTGTTTAATTTCGTAAATTAATCTCCATAAAATCCTTAACAAGTGGTATTAGAGCGCTGATTCGAGGTGTACTTTGGGATGGAAAAGATAGAGAGTTTTGGCACAATGATGAAATTGGATGGTTCCAATTTGCAAGTATGGAAGTTCAAGATGGAAGATATTTTGTATTGTAAAGATTTACATGAGCCTATTGTGGGAGATGAAGCCAAGCCAGAAAAGATTACTAATAAAGAATGGGAGTGTTCGCGGTGAAAGTCGTTTTCATTAAAGTCATTGTTTCCTTATTCAACAGTTTTTCGGTTACAAAAGATCCGGTCTTTTTATAAGATCCGGTTACAACAAAATCAAAGAAAAAAGAAAAATTACAACTCTCCTTTTCTCGAACAAATCGCAAGATCCTGTTTTGCGGTCTCTTGCTTGTGTGGGTTCTTCGCCTGCGCCGGGGTTAATCCGTGGACCACCGCGCGATCTTGATCCGGTCGGATCTACAAGGTATGACGGGTGTTATTTCACGAAGGAAATAACAGCCGGGGGTACTATTTCACCAAGGAAATAATAGTCTTTAGTAATCGAAATCGACCAAGCGAAATCGATACTCTTCTCAGGATCAAAAACCAAGTTTTGATCCGGAGGATAACCGTGTGGATCTCAGATCTGATCTCTCTCTCGAACTCCTGCCTTGTTTGACGTGGATGATCGCCAAGAACCAGATCCGAAAATGTCCAAGTCTTCAAAGCTTCAAAACTCCAAAGTCGAGCTCTCAATCGAGCAGAGTTTCGCCTCGAAAAGTTCCAACCTCCATAACAATGAGTCTACCCCCTCTATTTATAGGCTTTTTAGGTCGGATCTGGGCTCAGATCTGAGCCCAGATCCGTGGCTCGGCCGGCCACCTTGGTGGCTCGGTGAGCCACCAAGGTGGCTCGGCCGGCCACCTTGGTGGCTCGGCCGGCCACCTTGGTGGCTCGGCCGGCCACCTTGGTGGCTCGGCCGGCCACCTTGGTGGCTCGGCCGGCCACCTTGGTGGCTCGGCCGGCCACCTTGGTGGCTCGGCCGGCCACCTTGGTGGCTCGGCCGGCCACCTTGGTGGCTCGGCCGGCCACCTTGGTGGCTCGGCCGGCCACCTTGGTGGCTCGGCCGGCCACCTTGGTGGCTCGGCCGGCCACCTTGGTGGCTCGGCCGGCCACCTTGGTGGCTCGGCCGGCCACCTTGGTGGCTCGGCCGGCCACCTTGGTGGCTCGGCCGGCCACCTTGGTGGCTCGGCCGGCCACCTTGGTGGCTCGGCCGGCCACCCTCCAAAGTATTTCAGCCTCATTCTTTTATAGAAGAGTCTGGAATACTTTGGATATGATTGTCCCAACCTTCAGTCGGTGTAACGGGACTTTGGAATGGCTTCTATTCTTGATTCCTTTAATCCTCCAAGCTATTCGGTGGTTTGTCGAATGTCTGCGTGGGTTCCGGTGTTGCATTTATTGCCTGACCATTGTCGGAATTTTGAACTTGAAGTCGATTCCTGATTTTCTGATCTTTAGCTCGTGTTTGCTGGTTCAACATAGAACTGACCATCGATTGTTGGCGTTGAGTCTTCATTTACAACGCGTTGTCCGGCGTTTGACATAGTTTATACTCATACGTCTGTCGGAGTGTTGTTGAGATTGTTGGCGTTGAGTCCTCGTTTGCGACGCGTTGTCCGGCGTTTGACACAGTTTATACTCGTACGTCTGCTGGAGTCTTAAGAAGCAGATTATACTCTTATACTTTTCGGAGTGTTGTTGAGTTATCCTTAAGAATATTTTTAGAAAAATACTCTCCAGAAACTTCTCAACAAAAATAGGGAATAGTTTATACTCGTATACCTTATTGGAGTATTAAGAATGAGTTGAACGATTCAGAATTCATGCCTCCCCTGATTGTCTCTATGCTTCTTGCTCTTTTAGATAAATTGCAGGAGGCAAACGTGGATCTTGGGAATAGAGAGGCTAATACACCCATAGGAGGTAACTCACTTCCATTAGTCGTAGTCTCTTTATTCTTCTCTCGCATTTATATTTTCTTGTGTCAGATTTTTCGACTGATGATTTCGACGAGGAAGGTTTGCTCGTGGACACTCCTATGCTCCACTTCATGTATGGCTCTCCTCAGATTGATGACCAAATGCCTGAAGATATGTTTCCTGAGTCTACACTCCCTAAGAATCCCGAGGATGGTCCTTTTGAAGGTACGTGCCTCTTCTCAGGTTAATTATAGGACTAGCCATTTTTTGACTAATGCAGCTATAATGTGATGAATCTGAGAATTCCGTTTTGTGTTTGACAGAAGCATTTGTCGAGACTGATCTTGTTGAGCCGGCTGTGAGACCAACTACATCAGCTGATACATCCACAGCGGTTACACCTCCACTACCCCCAGTGACTCAAGGGGAAGAAGGTATAAATTAAGCAACTGAGAAATGCTATTTATTTTCTCATCAAAGCTTTTGATGGATTTCTCCTTTTTGTGTAGGGATTTCTTCTCGGCTTCATATTCTCGTGAAGGAGTTGTTATCAGACAACGACCCTGAGAAGATTGTCATCTGTATAGAAGTCCGCTCCTTCTTCTCCTTTGTGAATGCTATGATTGGCAAACTCTTCAACGGTGGACTTTTCCTTCGCCAATTTAAGCCTTTCCTTGATTCTAGAATAAATTCAATAAGGGATGCAGGATATCCGGATCTGGCGAAGGCTATAGTTGATGACCTTGATTGCCTGGAGCACGAGATTCAGATGTTACGTAAGCTCCAGGATGCAGGTGCCTCTTCATTCATTGCTGCCCATTTGGATACTCATTTACAGACATGGCGCGATACTCGAATTCTTGCTGAGTTCGAGATTCAGGTGCAGCGGGATCGGGTAGACCGAGTTGCGGCTAACCTTGCTGTTAGATCATCTTCACTTGACGATCTTGACCTTTCTATTGCCTCTTGCGAGACCAAGATAGAACAGTTCAAAAGAGGGATTCGTGAAGAAGAGGAGACTTTGAGTATCCTTCAGATGACGAAGGTACAGGATCAGCAAGCCCACACTGCCTTATCTGAGGAGTTGAAGTCCTTGAAGCAGAAGCTGGCCGAGACGGAGGAGATTGCTGTGAAGACTTTAGCCACCACTGAAGAGTCCATCAGAGCTGAGTTGCAGGATGAGCTTAGGCAAGCTTATGATGAGAAGCTGTCTAAGTTTAGTCAGCAGATTTTTAGCCATAGGCTTGATGTATGATTTCATTTCATAAATATTTTGAATTTTGAACCTCTTAGTGGAAATGGTTTTATCTTTATCTTTATCATGATTCCTCATTCTGTTTGGAATGATTGACCATAATACTCATAGGATTTTTGGCAAACCCTCAGCCTTCAACGGGTTTGATAAGCCTTTACCGACTACCGTTTGAGTCGGGCTAGCATGCGGATTGTCTAAATCCGTTCCGCATGTAACGTTGTGCTAAGAGAGTGAATTCTCTGAGACTTTGTGCTATGATGTCGAATACATAGGCTTCGCCATTGTTACGGGAATAGGCTACCCGGCGACACGTGTTAGGTGTTGACTTTAGGATTTTTGGCTAACCCCCAGCCTTCAACGGGTTTGATAAGCCTTTACCGACTACCGTTTGAGTCGGGCTAGCATGCGGATTGTCTAATTCCGTTCCGCATGTAACGTTGTGCTAAGAGAGTGAATTCTCTGAGACTTTGTGCTATGGCGTCGAATACATAGGCTTCGCCATTATTACGGGAATAGGCTACCCGGCAACGTGTATTAGACGCTGACTCATCCCTACTTAGGCTTCGGGATAAAAGTCCCCAGAATCGAACTCTGGTGTCTTTTTCTACGGAGAAAGACTAAACCGGCGACGTGTGTTAGGCGTCGGCATATCCTTTCTTAGGATTCAGGATGAAATTTCCCATGCGTGTAAGGCATGGATTTTGGTG